AATGTATATTACCATAATTCAGATGGTTGGGGAGTAAATTAGGCTGTAAGTATGTCCAGGTTGCATTATTAACACTTATGATTGAAAGAAAACAGTTGATAACAAATCCTATGCACCCCTATCTATTCCGCATCGGCCTGATTAGCGTAGGAAAGACACATCCATGCTGTAGTACAGCTTTTCCAAATATCCTTCCTTATTTTAATCAGTACCATTGGCCATAAGCCATAATGTATACACTTAAATGTAACGCAAATAAATAAATAGATTGTTTGACAAGAATAACCACTACTACTACTAGTCTGAATATTACAAACTTATACTTCACCTATGAATACCAAATTATATTTATATTTCAGTTAAATTTCCTTCCAACAAACTATGACGTTTTTGTAAAGAATAAAATACGTATTTTGCAAGATTTTGTATTGTATGTGTATTTTCAGATTGCAGTAGCAAAATAAATTACCATCGGCCTTTTGGCTAAGATTATGTGTAGTATCTGTTCTTATCAGCTTAATCCTTACTTATTTTTATGAAATTAAACCTCTTTTTCAAGTGCAGAAACTTAGAATAGATACCATATATACATACTAAAATTATACTGTTTCCAAGTTGAGGTAACATGAATTCATGAGATTCCTTTATTTATATATTTTAAAATATTCGACCCTAAACGCGGTACACGCGTATACGCGCCAAATAAATAAATACACCTCTATTACGCATTTTTTTTATTTCAGCTTGTGTACCATATTTTTATTCAGAGAACAAACCACCGGAAAGACACTCACAGAATCGTTTAAAAGATATGATGGTACTTTTTAGGAATGAAACAAAAACATTGGAGTAAATTGAACAAGTGTTGATTCTAGCTAGATAAGCGAACCCAACAAACGACCAATTGTAGATGCTTGGGTCTTCAACCCAATTTGTTGAAGCTACGTTAAATCAACGTATTATTCACACATTAATTAATTAGATGTTGAAAATCGATTGAATAAGGAAATGGAATCAACATACTAGTAGATTTTGACATTGAAACAATGCATGTATATTTATGTTGAACTAACGTTAAATCACTTTTATATAACTGAGTTGAAATTAAGTTTAAATGCCAATACTGGAACATGTGATCATATCAACATTGAGTAAATATTAATGAACTGATGTTCAATAAACGTCATATAAGCACTTTTTCAAAACGTTCATAATGACCGAAAAACCAACGTTAACCGATTAAATTCACTAATATCTGATTGAGGTCTACCTACGTTTGCATATACAATGTCAAAGCAATTGGTCAAGCAGTGTTCGAAAAGTCAGGAATAATATTTTTTTTACCAAAACTAAAATTACCGTCCTAGCAAAATTAATACTGCTCTCAAAGATGGTGCCAACGTTCGACTCGACGACATAGAGCGGACTTTTAGTATTATATTTTCCACAGGCATCCACCCACATCCTATTGTCTGGTGCATATTACCCCGTCCTAAGTGGTGACATTCTTTGTCATTAAACTTGGCAAAAAAAGGGAAGACTACCTTTAAAGATCTATGGCACCTATTTATAGTATGCGGCAATAAGTTGACAACCTTGAACTAGGAATTGAATCAGCAATGTACATGTATGACATGATGTTAGTGCAATCTTTGAACTTGATTGTTCCCCTCATGTCAGAGATATCGTTTTAAAACACCATTGATGAAAACAATTTGTCTGTCAGTTTGGCATTATGATTTCGAAAAATATTGTATGACTGTTCATTTTATTTTCGTTATGTTATGATTTAAAACAGCTATTTCAATTATTTACAGCTGATACATTTTCTCCGAATTTCATTAATATATTACAATGCTGCGTCACACATCCTTAATTTTATAAGTAGAACAGAGAAGTTAAAAATTGTGAGCTGTAAATGAGAAAATTTATGTCCAGGATAATTGCGTAACGTTAAGAAATTAGGGAGAATCTTGTTAGGAATATGTGAATGAATGGTTTGGATTCAATAATTCCTACCATACCTCTCAGCCTATTAAATTTATTTAAAATTGTCAACCATATATATCATATATGTATCTGTTGTGCTTTGTTTCCTGCTGAGTTTATGTATACCCGCGTGTTTTTTCATAAAACTTATATGTTTGAGTCTGTTCCAGTATAGTCTACTGGAATCCGACCCCTGAGAGTTAAGTTAAGTTCTTCATACCCTCCAACATTTGTTGATGCAAAGTCTATGACAAACAAACAAGATGTCCGAACTGCAGATACAATGCAAAAAACAGATGTCATCACACAAACAATTCGAATGAAAAAATATGATTCCTTACATTCAATGAGATTCATAGACAGTCGATTGAAATGCCTTCTACGGACACTTAATCAGATTCACTTCAAACTATGCATGTATCATTATTATTATTCGGCATACATAATTTAATTAATATTGTAAATATGACATATTTTCTTGATTCTTTTGTGACGTGGTGAATTTAGAGAAGCAGTTTTCTTGACGTTGATACATTTTAGATTCGGGTGTCAATTTATTCATATTGTAATGAACCACCCACGTGTTTTTTTTGTATATAACTGGTTTGCTTGATTCTGTTCTAGAATATTTTATTTGAACCCCCCTATCTCAGGGAGTTAAGTATATATATATATATATATTCGCGCCAAAGGTATCTCATCCTACCATTCTAGGATTAAAAACTACGGACATAGATCATTCCACTCAGCCTGAGTGTGGGCAAAAAATTACTGTTTGTTTGTTTTTATTTTCATTACCGAGAAATTTGACCTCAAAGGTTAGGTAATTTTTCACATAGCTTTTTTAGCTCTTATGTGATTTGTTTGGTTTGGCTGAATTTGCTCATACTTGACAGGCAGGTCGTACCGTTACTAATTGGAAAATAATACTGGCCCACCACTGCCATGGCAACAGCCTCCCCAAAAACTGATTTTTGAATACTTTCTCCCCAAATTACTTCCTACCAGTCTTGTAATAGCAGTGTTCAAATGGCCATACTTTTTGCTCACCGACAAGAGATTACCGGCGCCGACATTATTACACTGCATCAACGTGATATATTTGCAACGCAACTTTGAATTTTGAATGAACTGTAAATGTTGCGTTCAATCTAGAAAATACAATGGTAAATATTAATCAATGACAATTCAGCAAAAACATAAGCATGATTCAATGTGTTATTTTTATTGTCATTAATATAGTATGGTAAGTACGTGTATGCCAGTCATTTAACACTGGCTATAGTCGTTGCTGTTAGTACTGCAAATTACTGATTCCACATAAAGGTAAGTAATATTGAAAGAAATGTATATATTATCTGTACTTATTCTATTAAAGTCACACTTGAATCAGTACATATACCGTTTTCCAACAAACGTGTCTCTGAGTGAACTCTGTTTCAAACTGATTTTTTTTTGGAATCAAGCAGCTTTTATAATATTTCTTTTTTCCTTCTGTTGTTTCCAGTTTTTAAATACCTCTCTAAAATTGGTCCCTCTATATTTATTTTCAATAATCTGCTAACAGGACTGGTTCTCAATAAGTTCCTCATATTTGTTTCCACTACGTTATACTATAAAAAAAAATCACTGAAGTGCATGGTGTATGACAATTAATTCACATATATTTGCATAAATACTAACATCTTTCATTATAACATGTCTGCAAAACTCCACCAGACTCGAGGTTTTGTTTTGAATCACCAATGGTAATATAATAAGCCATTCCATCTGAATGATGTCCGAGTCAATTATTGGCTCATATACAATACCATCACTTCTAGTTTTTGATACTCCAAAATATTCAATTATTTGTTTTAGCTCCGTCCTACCAGAATTGATATCAGAAACATCTTTAGGTAAGATAAATGGCTCAAATATGCCAAATGCCACCATCAAGTCAGAATTTGGAAATCTTTTTGAAATATTCAGTACTACCTTGTCAATGAATTCAGCTTGAGTAGTTTCAAATATTTCCTCTCTTTGTTCCGTGTCCTTTATCTGATGAGACATAAACATAGATAATCCACTCTCTGTAGCATTCAAACTTGGTACAAGTTTCTAAAATTCTTGCGATGTTACACCAGGATTAGTCTTGAGCCCATGCATGGCCATAATATATGCTTTTAATTTTTGCTAATAAGTTTACAAAACAGGTAAGTAAACTATCAATACATATTATGATAGATTATACAGACCTATGAAAAAAAAATGATATGAAACGTCTGCTTTAATGTCACGGATGTGTTTTCTTGCAACATTTCGCTTTAGATTTTATAAATTCTTTGGAGAATAATGAAAGAATTTGAAGAGAACATTAACAATTTCTTGAATTTTTACAAGATATTTAATATTGTTCGCAGCGTTTCCACTTGATAGGGCTAACCTATGAGCAAGGCAATGGTTACTAAGTATGTAAGGGTTTAAATCATTCTTGAATTTAGTTGTAACACCAGCTTTAGTAACAGTCATTACAGAGAATCCATCTGTAGCAAGAGCAATTATGTTTTTATGACTAAAACTAGAATGTCGACAGTCTAGACTAAGATCTCTGTTTGTTAAATATACACCATCCACAAGATCACGCTCATCTGACTAACTGTTGCTACGTGTACTTAGAGCGCGGACAGACTTGTATAGGTAATCTCTGTGTGTAAACGGTGCATCCGAATTTAATAGTTACTCCATGCTATTAAGGCTAGTTCTTCTCTTTATATTTAAAAATCTGCTTGTAAAAAAGTATTTCGTTCGGTAATTTGCGTCATAATAATTATTAATTGTTATGTATTTGAAATAGATACATACCTACTGGAGTAACCAAATTTAAATAAAGATAATTTATCTACTTATGGAACATGATAAAAAAAATCGCCATTGCATGGCGCTCTCTACGTGCGCGCCATCAATTATAATAGCTAGAATTCTACGTGTAACCTGTTTATAATTGATAATGTTGTCACTTTGTTTTCCAGCACTACATAAGAATCCATCGGGAGAAGAAATAGCATGCGACAATCCATCGCTAGAGGGACTGCGCGTCTGGTTAGGTGGGTGTAACGCATTCAACACATTTCTAAATTATTCTGACCACTGACCTACTGGAGAGTACGTGTTCTGACTAAATGTCAAATGAGCGATCATATGAAACACCGTTTTGTGCAAATTGTTTTATCAGCGAGGACACATACATGTATATTTAATATCAGCAACAAATACTAGTAACAACTAAGTTGTTTTAAAGGGCGGTGGTCGTCGCGCCACGAATGCACGAGCTATGGGTCTCGTAAGATGGTGACTTTGACTTACCCAGTCCAATGAGTACAAACTGAGTCGTTACTAAGCTTTAACTAGATAATTTATTTAGTGATTAGAAGGTAACGGAGAGTCGCCGGCGAGAATTAGTGCAAGTAGCGCCCAGGTCAAAACTCGGGTTCGTGATTGTATTAGAAGAGCGCATTGGATTGTGGGAAAACACAAATTTCGCACATGCGCGGAGAGACTACTACCGCTTTTTAACTTTGGATGCGAACAACGGGTTCTTGTCACCCAGTTGCTACGCATGCGCACGCGAGCAAAACGTGCAGAACAGCTTATTGAATAATGAACAGTGTATCAATGAACGGTTTGCTAGATTCGTCTCTCAGCTGATTCGATAGGACTTCCCTTTAAATTTAACATTAAACAGGTTTTAAGAAAAAGTGACAAAAGAGAAATAAGTTGCTACTTTATTTATTTAAGCTTTTCGCGCCTACGATTATTTGTGTGAAAAAAAAAACAAAAAAACATCGGGAACAAACGCTTAGCTTGAGTGAAAAGATGATAAGGCGAGTGTGTTTCGTTGTATTCTGCTCTCCAAATACAATAAAAAATGAACCCCGACCTCAAACTAGGTCGACTTGATTCAACAAGTGTGAATGCAGCGTACGGTTCGATTCACGTTCGATTCGATTATGATTCATACTTTTATTGCCATACTTATAATTCACAGAATTCCAATATTCGTTGCAATTTAATATTTTTTGAGAAAATCAAGGTTGTAAATAGTTTCATAGTCAGATCTGCGTATATGGCGAATTCACAGTCTCGCTCACATCGCAAATTACATGGCCCCAAATCCCACCACCAAGTATAGAAACGCGCGAGAAATGCGTGGATATGATTAAAAGAATATGAAACATATGTAATAAATATAGTCTCAAATTATCCCCACCTAATGCTAAAAAACAACAAATTAAAATCTCAAAAACAAGGACGTAAAGAGTGGCTATATTTTTATTTATTTACAATTATTGTTTTTTGAGCTTCTTCCGCGTACTCAAATGCGTCAAGAAAATGACATGCACATCAACTATTTATATTGATCACCATTTTTTCCGCACAAAAATATTGTCTCATTGAACCGTACACTGTTTTCACGCTCGTCTTGATTCTCTGCGTTTCAGATGACGTTCCTGACTGTCTAGCGAATGAGAGTTACTGCGCCCTCTACGACTTCAACTATATTTGCACTGAACCGATTACGTATGAAGGAGCAAAATGCAACAACGGCACACGTGTGTTGTGCGAGGCTAAGCCGCCAGTACCACTATCCGACCCAACACCAGCGACAACCATCAAAGTGTTAAGCTATAATATTTTGGAACTGAACTATATATATTGGCAGTCTGGTCAGCGTGAACGCACTTGTCGATTACCATATCTTATTTTCGAGAACATTGGCGATGTTGACGTCATTATTTTTCAGGAACTTATGATGGGAGGATGTTTCCCAGATGTCTTGGACTTACGCGAGCTCCTGGCCCATCACGGATTTATATACAACACTCCGACGGTTGGGATCGATACCCAAGAACATGAGTTAATTCGACTAGAGAATGGTGGTGGCTTCACCTCATCAAGATGGCCAATAGTCGCACACGACGAGGCGATATTATTAGCCGTGCATCGAACGGATACTGATCTGTTCTCATCCAAGGGAATCGATTATGTAAACGTGGAAAAAACCGTCGATGACATCACCCGGAATTACCACATCTTTGGCACTCACTTGCAATCGCGAGACGGAGGTATGAGACCGGAGGTGCGGATCATTCAGGCAGCGGAAATGAGATTCTTCCTACAAAAGCTTATGATTCCCGCGAACGAGCCAGTGATATTCGCCGGTGACTTTAATGCCGATTACGTCGAGATGCCGGAACACGCCGAAGCAGTGCTGCATGTTATGGACGTAACGGTGCCTGAAATAGTTGGCGATCTTAGAGTGACATATGATCGTGAAAACAACACTTTAATATCAGGTGGCGGCGGTTCCTGGTTAGACTATGTGACCTACCACAACCAACATCTGCAGCCGAATAAAGCAACCCTGGAATCAATCCGAATAACAGATGATCCGTTTTGGATCTGCAGCTTTGTAAGATCATTGCTCGATTTCAGTTACGAGTATCCGAATTCCGAAAATTGCCAAAGCCCAGTGCAGGTGGTCGATCTGTCCGACCATTACTGCGTTTTGGGCACAATGAACTTCCCTTTGGAGCCCGAGATTGACAATCCCCTTGTTACGGCCTCTCCTATAATTTTCCGACACTAGACAGTTGGCATAGTTATAATGTTTACAATCGTTTTAATTGTCGAAGAATAGTTATGATTACCAGCATACACTCAGTAAGACGTAACAATATCGGGGCAGGCCGTGGAGCAAAATATCAGTAATTCAAATGAGTAGCCATTTCATAAAATCCCGCGATGCTTACAGTATATTAAAAAATAAACCTTAGAAAACAGGGACATGCAACTTCTGCCTGAGACAGGGGAAAATCCAGTTTCCTGTGTACAATGTGGGTTATAATCTCCTGTATAGATAATCCCATTATATACCTTGAAGATTTATACATCTGAAACAGTTTTAGTTGTTACCTTTCTACTCTTTTTTATATGTTTGATAAGTTATGCTGTGCCAATATTCACATTTGTCAGTATATAACGGGTACACTATGCTATATCGGTTATAAATATGATGACAAATCCACTTGTTATAATGACGCAAATTTTGACAGGTTTAGGCAGTTTTGTTTTCTTGTAGAGAAAACTGACCCTATTTGTTTCCCTTTCCTGTTTTCATAGTGGAATAAAAACTGTTAGCTTTGCAATTGTTAGTTTCACTCGTATCAATAGAATGGACTTGACTATTCAGTTTTAATCAAATGTAATTTTTCTGATTATATTCTAGCTACAAAGTTGGCTCATTTTGTGCCGCTACTCCCTGGCAGCCATGTTTGGCTTACGGAACAGGAGAGGATGTAACAGTGGTGTTGACATAGCTTTGTTGTCAGTTTCTCTGAGGTGTTAATTGGGTAGAAGATTATAACTAATGTTACATGAAATGGATACCCACAGTAGCATGTCCCTGTTCTCTAAGGTAGTACTAGTATCTAGTGTTTCCAACATATGAAGCCTGACAAATGTATGCATGTACCTAGGTTGTATTTACTTATGTATTTTCCCGGAATATTTATATTATTTATAATAATTAAAGACTTTTTCAAGTTTGTGTATGATATCATATTTTCCATGTTGTTTACGAGTTTAGTTTGTGACGTTGATAGATTGTGTTGCCAATTTCAGCAAAACTAGGGGACATCGAGTTCTGGTCAATACGACAAATAAATCAAATATATACAGAAAAAAATCAATAAAACCTTATGTTTATTCACGTGTTTGTAAAAACAAATTCGTGGGAACGGAATCTGAGAAATGAACACAGTGGCAGACACTCGCCCATCACATGATACCGAGTAATCGATAATCGATCTCAACCGTTTTATTACAAATCACGTCGACTGACTGTAGTTTCTGTGACGTCAATAGTGCCACGCACGCTGTGCAGGGAAGAGTAACGCCACGTTATCACCGGAGAAAAAATACCCTGAAGAAAATGAAGATCTTTATTTTACTTGTTGGTATTTTTGTTGGAGCATGTCATGCACAGGAGCAGCATCTAGATTACCTACTGTGTGCCGTGAGTATATTACAACGTGACGTATTTAGAGAATATCCGAGTAATTTGAGGTGTGGCAAAATTTGCTTCAAACGAATTGTAATACCTCTGGAGATAGTGTACATAATTTGGTTGACAAATTTTACGTAAATCGAATAATACAAATGTATAATTTCTGGTATACAATTTAATCGGATTTCCACAAAAAAAGAAGAATATTGGTTGTTTCATTAATTTGATTGCACAGTGGAATCATAGAGTGGCGGTGGTAATTAATGTTTAATTTAATTGACAACTCCTAAATCTGTTGAAAAAAATGTTTGAATATCTATAGGATTTCGGAATTTCACGTATGTACAAATATAGACTGGCGTACCTAAATGTATGTAGTATGTGGGATAAATTGGGTTCCAACAAAGAAAAAAGAGTAACACGAATGCAGTTATCACAAGAAGAGAGTTTTAAATGTGCAAATCAGTTGACGCGTGACTTGCGTGCTACACGTAATTGCATCGGTAGCCAGTGTTATTTTGGGACTCTCATTCACGTGACCTATTTGGCCAACCGTTTGGGAACACAGAGGGCGTGTCACGGGTCCCGGGTCATTCTGTGCAGAATATTGAATACTCGAACACGTTACATCGAACAACACTTTTATACCTAATTACGTGGGCAATTGTTCAAGTCAGGGACAATGAGTGTTTATGCAGTAAATCGGCGTCCTCGATTAATGATTGTAAACTCACAGTAGCTAAAAAGCTTGAATATTATCTGTGTCTCACATTTTTCAATTCTTTATTAACTATACTCAAATACTGTATGTTTTTTTCATGGCCAAATCATATCCAATGGATTTCAAATTGAATTCATGCTTTACGTATCATATACCTCTAGCCTGACCTCTGCAGCGACAAGTGCGTAGCACCAAACAACGCGCATAACAGACCAGATAGATTGAGCAAGCATTCTGAGTACGACTGTTATTGTTCCTGTGGAATCGTCATCGGTGACGAATGCGAAGATGACGACGAGTGCGCAATGGGCACGTACTGTGGGTCGGCAGAGGATGGTAATGTCCAAGCAGGAGTCTGTAGGAGTAAGTGGGGGGGGGGGGGCAAAGTTTTCAAAGTTTTAATGGTATGTTTGTCTCATAACAGCCAGCATAATTATGCTCATGACAGCACAAAACCGTTTCCCTTTCCGCATTTTATGAATAATAGTATGTTTTCAAATATCCATGGGTTTGTTATCATCATAAAACACATACTTTTGAGTACCGCATTATTGTTCAAAACTCACAATAAAAAGCAGCTTTTTATTCCTAGTTTAGTGTTTTCAAAGTTCATTTTTATTGCTCTCCTGAAGTTGCGTCTATGGTTAATAAATGATAAGTATTTTAGTTATTTGAAGATATATTGAAAAAAAAACAGTTTGAAACAATGGCGTTTGAGTTTTATACTAAAAGTTAACTGTTCCCAACGTTACAGCTCTGTGTGACCACCCTAACATGCACTGCAACTCATTTTCTCGATGTGAGATGGAGAACCATCAACCAAAATGTGTGTGTGATTTATTCGTATGCAGTGACACAATAAACCAACCAGTGTGTGGAGAAGGTAACAGAGATTTTATGAACAGGTAGGTTGATATCCGCTTCGTCTTTCGTGTTATCAAGGCACGTCGTAATAATTTGTAATATCGCCCTCTAATGGGTCAAAAAACAATAGTGCGCCACCACATGACAAAAGAGATTTTGTTTTCAATACCCTGATTCCTTTTTCACATAGTCTGCCAATGATCTCTGGAAATCGCGTACGGCACACAGTTATATTACATGAATGAATGAATGAATGAATGAATGAATGCATGAATGCAATTCATATATATATTTGTATACAGGTGTTTGTTTGAGAACTATAACTGCGAAAGGATGCAGAGCGAGGAAGGTATAGAATCACTGACCTTGTTAGGTCATGGCACATGTGCCGGTACGTATTAAGTACGATGAGGCTCCCTAAATATATTTTCAAGCCATATGAGTTTATCTGTCTACGTGGGAAAAAAAAAATCAATGTCTGATCCGATTAAAAATTCGAAATTCCAGTTCCATCAGATAACGGTAATAATTGATTAGATTATGGAGCAAAAAGTACATCTTCATGGTTATATTTATAACTGCTTGTCACCTCATCACGTTCAGATCTAAAATTGTGTCTCGTATTAACATTTCGTTATTGATATAATTGTCAATATTTTACTGAGTAATATTGCGCAAACTTGTTTCAGCTGAACGTTCTCTATTTTATATTTCAGAAGTACAAAGCAATGGTGGTTCATATGTGCGATTATAACTACCCAAAAAGACAAATACATCACCGTTCAATAACGTAATATAAGAGTTTCTTGGTACCTACATAAACAACCCCACTTTCCGTATACAAAAGTTGCTGATTCTTGGTCCCTGATACTTCTAAAGACGTTTGGGTTTACTTTCTACAGTACAATTTTGAGTTACTTACAGTGTTTGACACAGTTCGTTGTACCACAACACACAGCAAAGACTTACTCCAAAATCGGGTAATTTCAGATTGCAAGACAAAATTATTAGGTCAGCCCACCTATATAGATATATTTTTTGGTGGTTTAGGTTTGTGCATTTTATGGAATCTTGGTGCATTTAGAACAGCATAACATCATATTCTTTCATATTTACAGTGGATTTGTCTGTGTTCACCATCAGCAAGGACTTTTAACACGCAGGGCCATCTTGAATGCATACAAGTTGTGAAACACGTTTTTCAGATTCCTACAAATCAGCACAAAAATGCCAATCTTTCACAGAAATACGATCCGTTGGGGGTAATATTAAGCCAACCGATAACAAAATTCGGTCGAATTCGTCGTTTTTGTGTGGAAAAATCACTTAAATACGAACACCTGATTACTTGAAGAACATAGAACACTTTCCCGGGGTATTTAAAACCAAAAAATTATTAAAAAAAAATATTTAGTTTTATGCCGCATTCAAGATGGCGACCCCCCATATAGTAAATATCGCATTTATTATCACGTGTGCGCCGGCTGACTGTGGGCAAAATCATGGTGTAAAAGTCTTCCGAATGAGAGACATTACACAACTCTAAAATTTAGATGAAAATAAAAATAAAGTACTGTAATCGCTCTTGATTTGGAATGCCTTGTGATAAAAGTGCCTTACTGGCTAAGCAATGTAGGGATGTACAATACAAATACAGAACGTCAATAGAAAAATGTCAGTCAGTTCGATTATTGCTACCAGATAATTGCCAATACCAATAATTTCAAGATTGATGCATTAATGAATTTCCTCCATCATCACATCTTCATGCATTAAACATTCATACCATTTCAATTATTCAAACTTCTTTCAACATGTACTTACATTTATTTGTGAATTTCACTTATTACGATACTAAAATATTTGCTTAAAGGGAATTGGAGGGTGTTGAAACCATATGTTAACTTTGTGTTAAGAAACACATTTGATATACATGCATATACCATGCACAGTATGGGCCCCAGCACTAAGCGCATTTTGTTGCAATTGCCACCACCCTTAAAACTATCAACATAATCTGCGGTGTTGGGTTTCTAGTTCTGCTATGTATTTGGGGGAATTTAATGGAATAAACACAATCAACAGGGCAGTGGTTTGTGTAAGAGTGTTTATTTTAAAGTGTAGTTAATAATCACCAGTGGTTTTTTTTTAACCTTATGTTACAAAAAAAATGGACACAATGATGGTTGGCTATAACATAATATTCAGTATGTTATAAAAATGAATACACTAAAATACTTTATTTTCACTTGGAATTAATTTTCGTTATTTTTGCTGAAGGAATGGTTCAGTGAAAATAAAATCCAGCGAATATATCTTTTTTTCTATATTCACATTCACCTGATCAGAAATCAGTGGAAATAAATTCCACACAAAACACCCAAAAAGTCTTTTCAGCGAAAATTAATTCCAGCTAAAATAAAGTATTTTACAGTATTATATGCAATATCAGTAATATTATTGGTAAAAGAAACAGACAGGAAATACCAATAAAGAGTTATTGTTTCATATTTAACCTACCAACATTTATTGAAAATGAGATCTTTTGTGCATTCATACAGAAGAAAATAATAATAACAGACTATTGCATTTTAACACTGTCTATGAGAGGGTTGACATGCACTGAGGCAGTATAGAGATTGTATTTACTGGCACATAGCATACTGCCAGAATCCATATTTTGTGGTACTCTTATACATAGCTAGTACCCTGAAATGTCAACAAATAACGTTTTGTGTTGTGCTAACATTTGTAACTGGATTCCATTTATGCTACAGCATGCAATGTAAACTAAGGAAAGTGTTAAAATGTGACACATTTATGTTGGTGACATAGTTTACCCCATATAAGGAAAAATATGAACATTTGAATGAATGCTGATACAGCATTTTACGTAATGGCAAACTTGGTGCTCCATGTATAATAATATATATATATATATATTATACATACATCGAATTTGCTGTATTAGAAGTACATCTCTAATACCTATAAAAGCACATATGAACAATTGCATTTAATGTATACTGAATCATTATAATATCACTTATATCGATCATAAACACCTCTGTAATTTAAAGCACATATGCTACAGTATGTAATAGAGCAAATGTAATATATATATTCTCTACATCCATTACACCTTTCCTTATTGGACAAGAAACCATCAAATCAAGTCAGTCAATGAAATTCATCCAATCACAGACACAATGAATGACATAACTTCGTATTAACAAGCATCATTTTGACTTTGGAGGAATTTCCCCAGTATCTAGAGTCTTGAGTAATCTGAATAATCCGGCAGCTTCCCGGATGTGACTGAATTCGATACAGAAAGCTTGCACCTCTATAAACAAATCCTGAAAGATGATGGTGAAGAAAAAAAAATTATTATATGTAGAACACCTCTCACTAATTATTGTGATCACATTGAAAAATGATAAAATCAGTTGGTATGGCAACAAATCCTAAAATATCAGAGTACTGAAGGTCATTGTGTTTAAACACTAAATCGAACATACTTTTCATTGTTGTAACACTCAAGGCTACTTTGAAGCATTAGAAGGTTTTTGTAAATTACAGATAATACTAAGTGGAAAGGCAACTTGCTCTTGGTGATGAAACAGATTGCCAAACATAAAGTCAATCAATCTACAAAGCAGTCTAATAAAAACTGCAAAAATCAATCAATCAATCAATAAATTGAAAACTTTGGCCATCCCACTATATATCTGAGACAGGCTTCTTCCAATACAACACAACAAAGATGGTCACTTTGATTATTGGACATATCAACATGAACAAAAAAAAGACACTATGAAGGTTTAACAGGTAATTCCTTGTATAATTGGTACATATAGAAAGACTTTAAGAAGTAAACATCGCAAACAGATCGAGACTTGCATTCATGATCACATCGAGTTATGGGAAAATCATCAACACAAATTTTACTCACACTGTTCATTGCTCTTTTAACAACAAAATAACATATGAGTAATTTCTAGAAAATAACCTACATCCTGGGCAATTCATTATAAGTATGTATCAGAGTTATTAACCATGTTTACCAAGTTCAGGTAAAAATACATAATAAAGTGTTATTTTATAATAAGCAGAAGCAAATCATGTCGAATTAGTATCTAAGGTAAATATAACAAGTCATTGTCAATGACACGTCCCCGTTCCGTTCATATTTGAGTGACATATACATTCAAAGCAGCAACAATATGGATGTTGAACTGCATTCAGTAAAACAAAATAGCCACCAGTCAGCCATTTTCAACACAATCCAAAAAAATTTTTTAACTAAATTTGCCCACGCATGACTAAGATTCAGTTCCGGTATGGTGAAAATGTGCAATTTTGGTGAATTTTTGACCTTAAAAGGACTGGCCCAAATGCACAGGCATATGTATGATATAATGTATGATGTGTATGTGAAGTTTGAACTTGATCAATCCAGACATGTCTTGGATACGGATCCAGAACTGAATTCTTTAAAACAAAATGGCCGCCAGTCGGCCACTTCGAACTTGATCCGAAAAAAAAATGACGTGCATCAAGGTCCTATTATGTTTAATGTATGTACCAAATTTGAACAAAATCCGTCCATGCATAACTGAGATCCGGGTCCGGAATGGTGAAAATGTGTGATTTCAATGCATTTTCAGCCTTAAAGCGGCCGCCATTTGGCTATCGTTAATGAGATCATGAAACAAATGCACATACATATTTGTGACATGATGTACCTTGTGTGCGTGAAGTTTGAACTCGATCAATCCAGGCATGTCTCAGATACGGATCCAGAACTGAATTCTTTAAAACAAAATGGCCGCCAGTCGGCCATTTCCAACTTGATCCGAAAAAAAAAATGACATGCATCAAGGTCCTATTATGTTTAATGTATGTACCAACTTTGAACAAAATCCGTCCATGCATAACTGAGATCCGGGTTCGGAATGGTGAAAATGTGCGATTTTGATGCATTTTTGGCCTTAAAATGGCCGCTATTCGGCTATCGTTAATCGGATCATGAACAAAATGCATGTGCATATGTCCCATATAATGTGTGATGTATGAGTGAAGTTTGAACTTAATCGGTCCATACATGTTTGAGATACAGGTGATCACGGACGCACACACGGATGCACGCACAGACGCACACAGGGCAAAACATAAGTCCCCGTTTTCGGACTACGTCTGAACGGGGACTAAAAATCACATTTTATTGATGGAATTATTACACCACATACCTGTACATTGATAATTTTATTCCTAATCAATGACTGGAGAAATACACACACCTAAATATGTTAAACAAGACAGAATAAAATAATTAGTTTGGATACACTGGAAATAATCTGCATACTAAATGTTATCTTGGTACAATCAAGAAAAAACAATATCCTTTAAAAGAAACAAGTTTTACCAGTAGTTGAACAATTATATGCACATGTTCATACTGTTAGATGTGTGTCCTTTTCCGAGGAATTGTGTTGCATGAATAGACAAACTGACTTATCTAACAATAAAAGTCCTAACCCTGCATTTTCAGCACCCAGGAAGTATGGTGTACCGTATATTCGCAAAGTCAAGGTGCTGGTAGTGCAAATAAAGAATGCACATCTGAATTTCCACACAAAGTCTGTACATATTTGCCTTTTTCTAAGTATTGCAAATAACCATAAAGGGACTGGAATGCTAATTTCTAAATATTCGGTTTTGTTTTCCTTGCTTGGGGATTTTCATATTACATTTGTAATACCGGACCATTTTGATATTAGAAATGTTGGTCAAACTCAATGTAATGCACAATACACTACACAACATATAGGTGTAATTTCGTAACTGATGTAATATATTATGGCCCACCATGAAGATGCAAATTCATGTTATATATATAATTGTGTAATTTATTGAAGTCATCCCCACTTACCAGTCTGACGAGTCTATTTTGCATATATTTATCTTTAATTGTTTCACATGTTGATATACAGTTAGAAATATAGAGATGAATGAATTCAGTTGGTAAGTCTACAGCCTAATGACAAAAATACATGTATACATTTATTAGAAGAATACACCAATACATGTTATTATTTAAAAAATACTAGAACACAACAGACCAAAGTTTCTGTTAGTAGTGTAACTCCATTTGATGAAAACAAACAGAAAAGCAATAGGATTCATATAATCAAAACCGTAACATAAATTCTGAAGAAATCTATCTTTCATTTATGGTGTACATATATATGCCCTCAATTATTCAATAGATGAACCACTCTGTTTTTATGCCAGAACATAAATACCACTATTGTCTCTCATAAATCTGTATACTGTATTTGCTCCATTAGTAGCGCATACACTCATGAAAATCACATAGGTGTTTTTATTACAGAAGTATGCCTTTTTATTAGAGCAAATACGGTATATATACAAATTGCAGTGAAACTGTACAACATACATAATGACATTTAGGAATTACATGTTTAATCCTCATAGAAGCACTTGAAACATAATATATATCTGCTAGTGGAGACTCCCCAGCCAGAGGATCAGCACTCGTATTGCACACTTGCAAAGGGCGTGTCACTCCTGGCATTCAACCTCAGTAGTATATTGAACTTTCCATTATGATCCTGAAGCATAAATCTCTGAACAAATGGTGATTGGTTTGTATTGTTTCAAAGTCGACCATGTACAAATGTATTGCACCCTTCTTAACCCATTGTGTGGAAAAGTCAACTTAGTTGCCATTCACAAAATATAATATGTTACGGTTTTTTACATGTTAATTATGTTTATTTCATCTAAAATGATCGAAAATTATAAAAAAATAATTAAAAATAGGCAAATTTAGCATCAAAATTCTGATGCTTAAAGGGTTAAAGCCAGGATAAAAAAACACTCAATGTTTTCACCATTAACTTACCGTTGTCAATCTATTGACTACTTCCATAGAATGTAATGACATTTCCATATTGACTAATACTGAAAAGTATTCAGTAATCTGATTAGATTGCATGAGTCGTAGCAGCACCTCAATGGCTACTAAGGGGTTGTTTTCTACTAAGTCTGGCAACTGAATAGACAAATACAAATAATATTAGACATGTAAAAAAAACCACAGGAATACCTCAGTTGATTTACTAGCAGCATGTGTACTCATGTAAACGATAGAGGTACATGTATGTGCAAACATTAGCACTAATTTGCTCTATTAGTAGTGAGTCCATGCTTACGTAAATTACAGACTGAAGTGAATCTATGCTAAATATACTTTAATGATTCAATATACAACAAATATGTTTATATG